CTGCACCTCCTGGAATTGAATGTCTATTTTCCTCACCAGGTTAGGAAGGTTTTCCAACAGTATTTCTTCAAATAGCTCTTCAATTCCTTGATCTCTCTCTTCTGGTACCCCTATGATGTGAATGTTGTTACACTTGATGTCCCAGAGGCTCCTTAAATTATCCTCCAGTTTGAGGGGAGGGGGGGCGGTTTGGATTTTTTTCTTTTTTGCTCTTCACTTGGGTGTTTTCCACTATGTTGTCTTCAAAATTGCTGATTCAGTCCTCTGCTTCATCTAATGTACTCTTTATTTCCTCTAATGTATTCTTCATTTCAGTTATTTTATTCTTCATTTCTGATTGGTTCTATTTTATGGTTTCTATCTCCATCTGTTTATCTCTTTGTTAAAGTTCTCACTGACTTCATTTACTCTTTCCCTAAATTCATTGAGCATCCTTATAACCAGTATATTGAACACAGCATCTGGTAGATTGTTCGTCTTCATTTTGTTTGGTTCATTTTCTGGAGTTTCATTCTGTTCTTTCATTTGAGGCAGGTTTCTTTTTCTTCTCATTTTGTCTGATTCTCTGCATTTGTTTCTATGTATTAGGTAAACCTACTATGTATCCCAGTCTTGATAGTATAGTAGGTGTCCTGTGGGGCCCAGTGGTACATTTCCCTGGTCACCTGAGCCAACTGCTCCAGGAGTGACCCTGGTGTGTACATTTTTATTGTAGTTGAGCTTTGATTCCTGTTGTTTTATCAATGGGAGGGGTTGACCCCCAGGCTGATTGGTTGTGAGGATGCACCATGACTTTAGTGGAGGAGCTGCTGTGCAGGGGCTAACTCCATGGAGTAGGATTCCATTTAGCAGGGCTCTGGTACCTTCCAAGTCCACCCTTTGGGTGTCTTGTTTGTGGAGGTGGTAGGGTGGTGCCCTGGTGTGGTGTGGCCACCAGGTATGTTGGTTCTGGGGCCTTTCAGAATGGGCTGTCATGTAAGCCAAGGTCAACTGCTGCCTGTGCCTGACCCAGGAACGGCAGGTATGAGCTACAAAGTTATCTGCAGATGGTTTCCACTTGTGCTAGTTTTGGAGGAAACTGGGAGAGGCTAAGATGCAAACTGAGACTGGCTGCCACTAGTGCCAGGCTTGGGACTGCTCTGCAAGTGGTACAGCACACACTGAGGCTAGACACTTCTTGTTTGGGGTTTGTGAACCTCTGAGAGATTTCAGCAAACTCCACAGTACCATTTGCATGGAATAGCCTCTAGAAGCAGCTTGAGTAGACCTGCAAGTTGGGCAGAGCAGGATCTCAAGGAATCAGCAGAGCAGAGCAAATGGTGTTAGCCAGGTTGATGGAGACTCAGACTGGGCACCTGCCTGTGCCTGCAGCCTAGGTGAGGGCCAGGTTCAGCAAAGGAATAATGGCAGCTGCCAGCACTTCTGTGTAGGAGAATGCTTCCCCTACTATCCTTGTCCTGAAGCCAGACAACTTAATTCCCCATTGTATGTCCCTGGTACTTTTCAAGGGGCTGCCTCAGTGCTAGAGCTCAGATCGAGTGAGTCCATCTGTGAGTAAGTCTGTGCTTGGGCCCTTTAAGAGGAACACCTGGGACTCCAGATGTCTCTGTCTCACTCAGCCATAATCCCTGCTAGGTTTCACAGCTAGAAGTCATGGAGACTTCTATCCTCAGCACTAGAACCCTGGGCTGGGGAGCCCAGTATGAGGCCAGGACCCTTGCTCCTCAGGAGGAGCCTCTGAGGCTGAGATATTCCTCCCAATTTTTAATCACCATACGTGGGTGTGTGATCAGCTCCTTCAGCATCTCTGCCCCTCCTACCAGTCTTCACATGCCTTCTTCTGTACATCCTTAGTTACAGGATTTTTGTTCAGCTAGTCTTCAGGTGGTTCTTAATGATGGTTGTTGTGTAGTTTAGTTGTAATTTGATGCGGTTATAGAAGGAGGCTAGCACAGCATTTTCCTACTTGACCATCTTGACTGGAAGTCTCCCCAGTTTCTGAATACATTGGTTTTAACTTAATATATCTATAATTGTTTATATGTCTAAAATACTTAAATAAGAATTAAAATGAAAAGAAGGTAATGTGGAAAAGAAGGTGCATGCTTTTGTTTCTGCTCTCATTTCCTTTATTGTTAAATTATTTATTCAATAAATTAGAATCAGAAGAGAAATTCAGTAGCTGAATCAGTACTTAGGAAATTTGTCAGCATTCAAAAGTTATTTTCTTTGGGAAGGCATTGAAAATAGAATCCAGTTTATGAATCTCAGGGCTTGCTGCCTATAGAACTGTTTGTTCAGTTGACTCTTAGAAAAGTAATCCCGGGGTTAACTGCCTGTGTTCAGAGAGCAGCTGCCACGTCTGTGTGGGCAATCCCTCCTTCAAAGGCTCACTGACCGTTCCCTGCAGGCTTCATGTGAACTGGCCTGGAAGTCATTCCACTGGGGGGTGGCCGTAGCAGCTGCCAGCAAACTGCCCTGCTTTCCCAGAAAGCCTGCTCCAGCCCCTTCCTACTCACTCACCAAGTCCTCATTCCAGGCTGCTGACCTTGGATTTCTCCCCACCGTGTAAACACAACCAACTGGGAAACTACATTCCTGAAGGAAATTCTTAGCAGAAATAGAAGATGAAAACTCCAATACATTCAGAAACCTAAAACTATTTACACATGGGTTTTCCTATCTCCTGAGCCTCTGGGCTCCCTTCTCATTTTTTGTATACAGCCTTGCTTTAAGGTGTTGGAATAAATTCTCCCTGATAATACTTAGTTCTCTGGTTTTCTCATATGGATTCCTAGGGATGGAGAGGCCATCTGGCAGAGTGGATAAATGGAAGGAAGCTGGTCTAGGTAACTCCTTGTTAAGTTACTTAATGAACCAAACAAGGATCTACTCAGACTTTTTATGTAAGAGAATACAATTCTTTTATTATTTAAGCCACTTTTGGTTGAGGTTCCTGTTATAGCCAAAACATACTAACTGTAATAGCATGGAAAGGAGATTCTGTTACAGATTTTTTTGTTGTTGTTCTTGTTATACTTACTTTTGAGAAAGGCTAGATCAGATAGCGATAGAGAGAAGTCCTCTGGGGGCCCGGGTGGTGCCACTCAAAGCAGGGTTCAAGGACCCACAGGTTCAGAATTACCTAGGAGTTTGTTTGGAATGCAAATTCAAGGGCGACATCTCAGACCTACCAAATCAGATTCCCTGGAAATGGGGTTGGGAATCTGTATTTTAACAAAGTCCCCTCCAGTAATTTTCATACAACTAACATTGGAGAAAACACTAACCTAGGAGGTACCTACAGCTGGGAGCGTGATTGGTCCAATGGAGGAAGTGCTATGCCTCTGGCTCATTACAGACCTCCCAGATGCTGACCTAATCCTCGAGGTCTCATTTTCCTTTTCTGTCACAACAATGTGAGAATCAGATGAGGGACTGGGTGTAAAAATGGTTTGACAAAGCGAAAACCTTGATCCCCAGGAGAGTTGCTGAGCTGACCCAGCTGTACTGGTGGACACAGCATCCAAGGCTGCAGTCGGATGTGCGAGACCAGACTGGGCTTCTCCTCATCAGCTTGAGATTCTTTGTGTAGGACCTGCCTCCATCTGTGTGTCCAGGTGCCCAGTGAGAGAACCGGCAGGGAGCTGGTAGAGACTCACGTCATTCTTAATTGAATTCAATTGCCCACATTTTGAGGTTTCTTTTCCAGATTCCTGCAGTCCGGAAAAACAGGAAACCCAGGTTTTGCCCTTCTGGCTTAAGGAGGGCCAGCCTATGTCCCAGTGCCGTCCCTTCTCTGTTACAAACTCAGTGACCTCTGTTCTCCTCTCCACCACCTCTGTTGAAGTGACCTACCCACCTCCACCCCGATTTCCCTGGCCTTCCACACCCGAGGAGGCACAAGAGCCGCTGCCCTGGTGGCAGATGATGGATTAGGTATTGAGCCCTCCCACCTCTCAAGTTATTGAGTTGTTACCAGACTGAAGGATTTTGTTTGCCTGTGTGCATCAAAGCCCAATAAGAAATGAACAGGAGTTTGAAGCCAAGGAAACAGGCATTTATTAAGGAGATGGCACCATGCCCAGAGTCACAAGTAGCTAATGCTTAAAGACCTGGCTTCCTATGGATTCTACAGGATGGGATATACAGGGGGAAAAATTATTAATCATGGTGACTAAGGGAGTTAAATTAGGGTCATGGTCAGGGTCGTGGTCTCTAAAATTGGCCAGCAGCTAGGAGAGGGGGATAGTTGAACATTGCATATCTCGTCTCAAGGTCAGCCATGCATTGCTTCATTCTGGTTTGCAAGGATTGGGTTGGTGGGGTGTTGCGGAGCTGAAACACAACTGAGGCCCAGATGTTACCTCTAGATTGGGGAACTTTATCTCTGTGGTCAATAGAACAAAGGCTTTGTTTCTGAGACTACTAGATGCTGACCAGAACCTCATTGTCCTGAGGGCTAATAATTAAGCAAGGAAAATCAGGTGGGTGAGTCAGGGGCTAAATGAGGCCAGTTTGAGTCAAAGGGGGAAAAAATCAAAATAAAAGGGCAGATTAAAGAAAATAAGGTGCCTAGGTTACAGCGGGAGCCATCCTCACTGCTAACCAGGAGGACCCATTTACACAAGGTAACCCTCCCCGCAACGTTCCCCCAGCTTGGGGTACCAGTGTTAGGGGATGAGAGGTCGTGCCCGCTGGTCAGAAGTCCAATCAGAGCAGGGCAGGCAAACCAGGCCGGCTCCAGTGGCCACTCAGGGGCAGGCTGACCGCGTTACCTTCTCTAGGACTGGGCGAACTTCCTGCCAATCAGGGGCGGGGCAAGGGGGCTCAGCCAGTAGCGTGAGGCAGCCGCGTCAGGCCGCGGGCCCGCGGTCCGAGCGGTGGCGGGGCTATCTTGTCTCGTAGACTGAGGGCGGGGCGGCTTCTAGCACCGCGCTGCTCTCCCCACCCCCCTCACCCGACCCTCCGCTCCCGGGCCGCTCGCGTCATGCCAAGCGCTACTCCACGCTAGTGCCTCCTTGTCTGTTACCCGCCTGCCCGAAGCCGCGCCCACTGTCCAGAGCCAGAGGGATGGTGGTAGTCACGGGGCGGGAGCCAGACAGCCGTCGTCCAGACGGTGCCATGTCCAGCTCCGACGCCGAAGACGACTTTCTGGAGCCGGCCACCCCGACGGCCACGCAGGCAGGGCACGCGCTGCCCCTGCTGCCCCAAGAGGTACCTGGACGAAGGCGGGTGCGTGGGAAGGGGTGCAGGGGGAGAAGTAGGTGCTGGGCGGAGCTGACCTTGGGATGTAACTACCGCTGGGTTTGGAGATCAAGGGTTGGGCTGAGGGATGCGCCAGAGGAGCTTTGCTCCCCTGCTCCCTTCTCACCGTAAAATGCACCAGGTGTCTCTTCCCTGCCCCAGAGGTCACCTGGCCCCAAACCCCCACCTTCCAGTACTCACTGTTTATAAGGTTGATTTACCCCGTGGAAAGAATAACTTGAAACCCCAAAAGATGATAGTACCTTCTCGAAAATCCAAGAGACCTCAGTGGTTCCCCAAACCCGATCTCCAGCTGCTCTGAGCCGGGGAGTAAGGACTGTGTACAGGTAAGAAGCAGGCCAATTGGTAGATGTGTCCACACTCCCCTGACAACTCCCTGGCTTTCCCTCACTAGCTGCTGTGCTGTGGTGCATAGTGGCTTCCACTGGTCTTAATGTGTATGACACTATCATATTAACACCTGAATTGATCCTTAAGAGAAGGGGAAAGTGGGGCGCTGTCGGGCACTGAAGACTGACTAGGAAGGAGGAGCTAAGGTAGTGCCAGATAGGGGAACATGTGATGTGTAGAGACAGGAGAATGGACAGAGCCCCGAAGGGTCTGGGCAGGGCTGGGTGAGGCTCTGAGGAAGCAGATAGTGTTATCTGGGGGTTAGTAGTTCATACTATTAACATTGTGGGATACTTGTGAAAATGAGCAAAACTCAATATGGAGCAAACAGTTGGATTGGTATGGGTATGAGATATCCTTGGGAAAGTTTTAAATGAAATGTAGAGTATTATTATCCCCAAATAATATTTGATTCCTTAGTATGCACATAGAATAGTTTTAGAGGAGCTTTAGAATAAGCAGAAGGCATTTCCTGTCCTAGGGTACGGAAGTGTAATAGTACATATATACATAGAACTGTAAATACCTATCTATTTCATTCATTCATTCAATGCATCTTTGAGTCAGGCACTGCACAAGGTCCTGGGTAAATTTTATTTAATGTATATTTATCCTACTTTGTTCACAAAGAATTTGAAAGTTGGGGAAAAGGACTTACTAGATAAATATACATAGATTCTCACTGGAGCCAGGGAGATGTCGTAATATTGAAAAGTATGCACTGGGACAAATTTTTAGTTGATCTGGAGCAGGAGAGTTGGACAATCAGAGAGAACAGGCTTTGTTTCTTTCAAAATCACAAGGAGTGAAAGATGTCAAAAAACAAAAATAAAAAGAACAGAAAAGGTCCCAAGCATTTTAGGGAGAACCTGGAGCTTCTCAGGGCAAATCTGTTCCATCATTCCCTGTTCTTCACCCTGCCCTTGCCTCAGGAGCTGTAGCTGGACTGGGAGTTAATCTAACTCCCCAGACTGAGAAGGAATTATTCAGCAAACATCCATGAGCCCTGCTGTGGGTGGCCTAATAATGAATGAGTTGTCATCCCTGTCCTCAGGAAGCTTGGGGTCTAGGAGGGTGGGCTGACACAAGAAAATAATTACTGATGTATTGTGTTAGGCACTATAATAGAGGAGGTGTGGCTTACAGTGAAGGCACAGTAGAGGGAGTGTTTAGTTAACTCTGTCTTGGGAGCTGACAAGAGACAGCAGAGCAGAAATGCTCAGAGTAGAGGAACTTGAATAGAAGCTCTTAGAATGAAGGATGCTGCTAACCTCTATGGTGCCTTGGTGTGAATTAGGAAAGGGGCACACATCTGGGCCGGCAGATCCCTCTCATCCAGGCACCCTTGGGCAGTGAACAATGTACACCACCCTACAGGACACTTTCATTTGCTAGATGGGCAAAGGAAGTGTGGTAAGAGCATTTTGGACAGAGAAGACAGCATGAGCAAGGGCACGAAAATGGTAAGTTCAGGAAAGGAGGATAATGAAGGCTTTGAACTCTGAAGCAGAGATAGTAGGATGAGGGTGGAAAGACCTGATTTAGGAGCTATTAGGGGGAGGATGGATAGGTCTTGGCAACTGGTGAGTGTGGGGAAAGAGAGGAGAGAGAAGAGTATTCAGAAAGACTCCTGGGTTTTAGAATTGGGTGACTGAGTGAATGGTGAGGCTTTAATTAGACCCAAGAAGACTGCAGACGGAGCAGCCCGGCTCTCATTTTTCTTGCCTGACTGAACACGCAGCTGTGTTTTTCCAGTTTCCTGAGGTTGTTCCCCTTAACATTGGAGGAGCTCACTTCACCACACGCCTGTCCACTCTGCGGCGCTATGAAGACACTATGCTTGCAGCCATGTTCAGCGGGCGGCATTACATCCCCACCGACACTGAGGGCCGGTACTTCATTGATCGGGATGGCACACATTTTGGGTATGTTTTTCCCTCTATAATCATCTTTGTAGTCCTAGAAAGTGAGTGGCCTGAGGTTAGGTATGGGGCTTTAGTATCTTCCAAAGTACCTGAAGAGGAGATAACATATTGATAGAGTTTAATAAATGTGACTGTTAAATTGGATCAGAATGTTTAGTTTCTTTTCCAGAAGAGACAAGGACAACTGGAGGAATCTCAGGTAATACAAACTGGCTGGATGGGATGAAACTGCTTCTGTCCTATGTAATTTAAGACTGTAAAGTTGTTGTCTGTGTGGAAAGGAATAGGTATGATCCCACCTAGAGGTGGGGGATTTCCAGAACAACTTCTCAGAGAATAAACACCCTCAGATCAGATTCTGGGCTCAGCATTGCCGGTAGGGAGGGAGCATGGTGTGTGGCAGCAGTTCCTGGGCGTCTTTCAAAAGTTTAAAACAAACAAACAAAAAAGGTGAGGGAAGGGCCAACATAGTTTGCCATTCTTTAATGTTGCCCAGAGAAGTCTTTAAAAAAACCAGAACAACCTTCAATTATTAGTCATTTTAATACTAAAACATAGGAAGACAGAATCTCAAAAAATAGATAGCCTTTTCCAAGAAAGGACTTCTGACAACCTTACCCGTAAACAATTTAAAGATTTTTATTTCAGTTTCTTTGTTTGTGGAATGGGAAATAATTATAGCTGCCTTGAAGGCCTGTCATGTGGATTAAATAGAGAGCCTTGATGTGACCCCTGGCCATGGTCTTCCAGAGTATATGGCTGAAGCTCTTTTCCCCTTCAGTCTAACTTTGGAGATGACTAGAGAACAAACATGGTCCTTGACCTTGAACAAAATGACCAGGGACGCAGACACTCTCCAATCACTACACCTCTGTGATGGCCTCCAAGTGAGATTTTCCACATTGGGAGAAGGGTCATTTTTATCCTCAGAAGGAGGCTCAGGTCAAATAAATTGCTTTGAATCATCTTGAGTTTCCCCATTGGGTTGTCAGCTGCCTCCAGTGCTGAGAAAACAAAGTGTCACATCGCTCTGCAGAGCTATAAAAAGGTTTTTGTTTGCAGTCCATTTGGGGGAGGAAAGTGCTGGCCCCAGCTGGCAGCTGCCACAACACTCGTGGCTGGGCCTTGCACTGAGAGTATGTTTTTCAGAACTTACCAAGCTTTGCTTAAGATCCTAGAGGACCAATTTTGGAAGGATTGGTGGGGAAGGGGCACAGGGTTTGGCTTTAAGATGATGTGCCCTTCCTCAGGTGGCTGTAGCTGGAGAGTGGCTGAGCCTGGCAAGGATGTGGGGCAGAAAGTAGGATATTGTGGCATTTATCCTCAGACCACTGGGCTCCAGTGGCCTATGATTCATCATCAGCAGATGAAGTTGTTGAAAGACTCAGATACAGTAAAATAGGAATTTAGGGCATTTGGTGGGGTCAATTTCTCTGCTGGGGCAGCCCATGTACCCCTAGCACCCACCATGGAGGCTGCTTGGGCCTCCACTTGGGGCAGTTTCCCATTGTGATCAATGAAGAGCTCTTTGGACTACAGTCTGGACCACTGTGAGTGTGGGTTTGGAGTCAATGGTGTCTACACCTAGGCTAACTGTGGCTCCTTGTGCGAGGATTTCCTTAACCTCTTTTAGCCCTACTTTTCCCTCATTTATAAATGGACATAAGGTAGCATCTATCCCATATTATTGAAGGGATTCAATGGGAAAACACATAAATATTAGCTGACACAGATTGATACTCAGTGAGTGTTAGCTGGTGTTGCATTATGGTAATAGGCTAACTATAGAGGTAACAGCTTAATCTTAGCATTTACTCATGTATCCTTACAGCAACATCCTTCCCACCTTCCATTGATGGATCTGATTACTCTTAGCACTGATGAATCTGAAAAGAGAATTAAAAGAGCTGAATTTTTTAATTTTTTAAAAGATTTTATTTATTTATTTTTAGAGAGAGAGGAAGGAAGGGAGAAAGAGAGGGAGAGAAACATCAATGCGTGCTTGCCTCTTGAGTGCCCCCTACTGGGGACCTGGCCCGCAACCGAGGCATGTGCCCTGAATGGGAATCAAACCAGTGACCCTTTGCTTCACAAGCTGGCACTCAATCCACTGTGCCACACCAGCCAGCGCAAGAACTGAATTTTTTAAAAAGAAAATGCAGTATGTGATTTTATTCACTCCTGAACCAATTTGTTCAGATGTTAATTTTGGACATTTGATTTCCATATAGCTACAGAATAATAATGGCAAGGATATGTAGAAGATGTAGAACTCTTCGACATTGCTAGTGGGAATGTAAAAATACTACAATCACTCTGTTAAACATGCACTATGAGTGAACAATTCTGCTAGTAGGTACCTAGGAGAAATAGGTGCATGTGTTCACAGCAAGTCTTATATGGGAATGTTTATCATAGCTTTACTCCGAAGAGTCCCAAATTGGAAGCAATTCAAATATCCATCAACGGGAGAATGAGTAAATAAGTTACAGTATGTATATGCATACAATGGTATACTACTTAGCAATACAAAGCAACAAACTACTGTTACACACAAGATAAATATCAAAAATATTAGGTTGAAGGAAAGAAGCCAGGCACAAAAGAGAACATACTGTGTGATTCTACTTATATGAATTTCAAGAAGAGACAAAACAGCCCTGGCCAGGTAGCTCAGTTGGTTAGAGATTCATCCTGATATGCCCAAGTTGTGGGTTCAATCTCTGGTCTAGGCACATACAAGAATCAACCAATAAATGCATAAATAAGTGGAACAACAAATCAATGTTTGTCTCTCTCAAATCAATAATAAAAAAAAAGCAAAATGAATCAGTAGAGTAGCTGCCTCTGTAAGACTGAATGGAAAGAGGCACGGGGAAACTTGAAGGAGATGGAAATGTTCTGCATCTTGAGGTAGGTAGTGGTTCTATGGGTATATTCATATCTAAAAGTTAATTGAATGGTACAATTAAGATTTGTACATGTGTTGAATGTTATTTACCTCAATTAAAAAATATACATGTAAGGTGGGGCAAAAACAAATTTACAGTTGTTCGTATGGAAAATAATACAATAATTAATAAATAATATCAAGAATAAACTGTTTTGTATACTCAGAACTGTAATCCTACTTTTGCCCAACCCTGTATATTAAGAGGCTAGTAATATTTTTCCATTATTCCTATATATAGCTAATAATAATACCTAATACCTAGTAATAATTGTAATTATAATAATGATACTGCTAAAAAGAACTATTAACACTTACTGAGGACTTACTCTGTGCCAGGTATTTTCTAAGCACTTTTTATGTGCTAACTCATTTAATCCTATTAACATTATGGAGTAGTTTTCTTATTTTCCCCCATTTTACAGATGAGAAAATCAAGGCACAGAAAGCTTATGTTCACTTACCCAAGGTTACATAGCTGGTGGTCTGGTTCCAGGTTCTGTGCTCTGACCACTGTGTGGCACTGGCCAGTCCCATTAGCTCTCTCTCACCAACATCCTCTTCTTCCTGCTCAGAGATGTGCTGAATTTCCTGCGCTCGGGGGACCTGCCGCCCCGGGAACGTGTGCGGGCGGTGTACAAAGAGGCCCAATACTATGCCATCGGACCCCTCTTGGAGCAGCTGGAGAACATGCAGCCACTGAAGGGGGAGAAAGTGCGCCAAGCATTTCTGGGGCTCATGCCCTATTACAAAGGTGAGGGGTCGGCTGCCCAGGACAGTGAGGGTAGGGGAAAGGAGTGTTGTAAGACATCGGTCAATGCCTAGCTCTCCGCCAGGACAGTGGGTCCAGAGTTCATGTGTATTACTCAAGATGGAAGAGAATCCCACTCCCTTTCTGCCCTTCCCTCTTGGTCACACCGGGAAGATACAGGCTCAGGAGGGCCCAACTTGCCTGTGACAGTCGTCAAATCACATTTCAAAGGGACAGTCCTCATCCCATCCCTTTGGTTTCCTTTTGCAGTAGAGAACCATGATCCCTCTTTAAATCTGTATCCTGCATAGGCCCGCAGAGTCCCTTCCCCCAGGAATCTGTGTCTTCCCTCTTGGATCCTGCTGTCGCTGGGCCTCTCTGTGCCCTCCCACTGCCAGTTCCCACCCCCCACCTGTCAGCCCCATCACAGTGATGGCTGCTGTGTTTATCCCCATAGACCATTTGGAGCGGATTGTGGAGATCGCCCGGCTGCGCGCAGTACAGCGGAAGGCCCGCTTTGCCAAACTCAAGGTCTGTGTCTTCAAGGAGGAGATGCCCATCACCCCCTATGAGTGTCCACTTCTCAACTCTCTGCGTTTTGAGCGGAGCGAGAGTGATGGGCAGCTGTTTGAGCACCACTGTGAAGTGGATGTGTCTTTTGGGCCCTGGGAGGCTGTGGCTGATGTTTATGACCTGCTGCACTGCCTGGTCACAGACCTCTCAGCCCAGGGCCTCATCGTGGACCACCAGTGCATCGGGGTGTGTGACAAACACCTCATCAACCACTACTACTGCAAGCGCCCCATCTATGAGTTCAAGATCACATGGTGGTGAGTAGTCCTGGTAGGGAGTAGAGTCCCTTCAGGAAAGGTGTCCATCCATTCCCCTCAGTGGCTCTGGGAGTCAGATCCCTAGAAGGGCTACTCATTTCTCAGAACTGACTGAGGTGAAGACTGAGTCCAGAGGCACAGCTCCAAGCGGATGGAGGTGCACCTGTAGTCTCCCCTGCTGTTCCTTGGGGTATCAAGGAGTATCTCCTCTCCCTCTTCCCCAAGAATAGTCCCATGCTTTATTTTAAGATGTGAAAAGACTCTTTTTCCTTCCGAAACATATTCTTCACCACTTTTTGGAGATGTAACTATAATTGCCAAAACCATGTACCAGGTTGGCCTTAGAAAAGCACAATGTTTACAGCCCTGATTTGGGCCTTGGCTTCTCCTATGTTCCACCAACCTTCCTTGCTTGAAGGGTTATCTTCTCAGAGGGCTGGATTGTAAATTTCAGAGTCGGCTTTTGAAGACTCTCTAAGTCAAGCAGGCAAGACATCTACATCTGTTATCTCCAAGATGTAACATCCGTTCTGGAGGCTCAGAATACCTCCTTGGCTGCCATTTCATCTGTCAGGATCCAGTTCGTGGTGAACCTCCTTGATGGGAACCCCCTCTTTTTAAAAAAAATTTCTTTTTATTTTTCAATTACAGTTGACATTCAATATTAAATCAATTTCAGATGTATAGCATAGTAGTTAGACATTTACCTACCTTACAAAGTACCCATATAACACCATACAGTTATTACAATATTATTGACTATATGCCCTATGTAAAGACATCCCCATGGCTACTTTTTTTTCAATTACAGTTTACATTCAATATTATTTTGTGTTAGTTTCAGCTGTACAGCATAGTAGAACGCCCTCTCTCCTTTTTTCAAAGATTTTATTTATTTATTTTTAGAGAGAGGGGAAGGGAGGGAGAAAGAGAAACCTCAATGTGTGGTTGCCTCTAAAGCGCCCCCTACTGGGGACCTGGCCCGCAACCCAGGCCTGTGCCCAGACTGGGAATCAAACCAGCAACCTTTGGTTCACAGGCCGGCACTCAATCCACTGAGCCACTCCAGCCAGGGTACTTTTTTTTTTTTCTTCCTTTTTTTAATTTAATCTTTATTGTATTTTTTTTCCATTATCATTTAATCCCCTTAATACCTCACTCTTCCCCAACCCCTTCTTAAACCTTGCCTTGTCCCACTAACACTCTCCTTCTAGGAGAGTGTTCTGAAGAAGTAAAGGAAGGGCTAGGTAAGAGGCACAACTATCCCGGGAGCTGTATGAAGACAGCAGCAAACCTCCATTCTGTTTTACTGCCCACATTTCAGAGAGAGAAAGATGTACAAGGTTCTGCTCCCACTGCATTTTCTTCTTGCTCTGTCTGCAGCCTGGGGCAGCTAGTCAGGATATGGGCATGCGTCTCCTAAAGGAAGACTGTAGCATTCTCAGTAATGGGAATGTAACATTTCTGTGCTGCAATAAGGACTTCTTCCAGTACTCATGTTGTGCATGACTGTTTCCGGCTGTTAGTGTAGGGAGATATTCTTACATGTGAAAAGCTGGTAAGGACAGCCTCACTGGTCTCAGCCTTACAAGCCTAGATTAGCGAGGTAGGGAAGAGATGGCCGAAAATGTCTGCATCCTTCCGAGGAAGAGAAGGCCAAGCCCTGGGACCTTGGCTGAATTCCCTCATGAGGCAATGACTCCCTGGCCCTTGTGTGAGAACAGAAATACCAGGGTATGTTTTTATATTCTTGTATTGTATTCTTATATGAGTGGAGCAGAGATATAGACTGAGATCTAAGAGGAAAGTACAGTCAGTTGTCCTGGTTCCAAGATATGCGTTCCCACTACTGTTCTTATCCACATGGATCGTTCCTTTTCTGGAGCTGATGCCGATGCTTCAGCTTAGCCCAACAACATGCCTCTTGCCTTGTTCTAACAGAAAAGTCTCCCATTCAAGTTGCTCTGATTGGTGTTACTGCCTACTACAAGTTCCATCTTTTGACAGACACTGAGGCAAGCTGTTCAGGAGGAAGTCAGTGGGAGCAGAGAGCACAGAATTAAGCCCATTGCTTTCAGTAATCTGGCCTTGAGGCCCGCCCCCTTCTCCACCACCCAGGCACAGCACACCACCGTGCTTGGTTATTTGGAGTCCACACGTGTAGGGCAGGGAGTGGCTGCTCTCCTCAAAAGCAGCTTTGCTCAAAAACAGGCCCTTGGAAGACTTGCTTGGGGCTACAGGGATGCTGTCCCTGTGCCTCTTGCTAGAGACACCCTGTTTTTCTGTCCCCCTGTGATGTCCTCAAGGTGGTATATACTCTGTGCCATTGTGAGGGAACAAGGTCCTCGGCCAGTAGACTAGGAAGAGCAGGAACACTGGTGTCCAGCTTAGAGCCCCTTCTAAATGGAGTAAAAGAATTCAGTGGCCCAGTTTGGCCCTTCTTTTGTAAGAAGCCAAGACCAGTCTTCAAAGTCTTTTGGATGTGGTGGGTTGTGGCAATGTCCTCCAAATGAAGGTTGTCTCTGAGGAAGTGACTTCTCCCCATCAGATCCCTTTTGAACTCTAAATGGCTGGCCCAGGGTGTAAGAAGGGGTGGGTCAGGAAAGAAGGTTCCAAAGGATGAATGCTTCTCCCTCATCCTGAGTAGGGACTAGATTCATCCTGCCATGAGACAGGCTAGTGGTTATTGATGGGTCAAAGTGCCTGCTTTTGGAGCTTCCCTTTTGACTTTGGGCTCCTTTTCTCCCAGGTGCCGTGCCCACAGGCTGGGAAGGTGAAAGTTTTAGGGGATAGGACTAATGGCAACAAAAAAGATGAAACAAAACCACAGTGAAATACATTACATCATCCCAGTAGAGGAATTCTGTGAGTAACGCTCTAAATAGAAGAAAGAGAGGAATCGACACCATCCTTACTTTACCTCTGGTTGGTTCACCAGGCTGCCCAGTGCATACTGTTTGGAAAGCAGTCAGCTGTCCTCTCAAAAGTGTCTGTTCTTTCTTTCTGGAGTTTAGGATATTCTGGGGGCTGCCTGAGCCTTGTGTCTCAGGCTAATCAGGCTCTAATAATCTTCCTGTTCTGGGTCGCCCATTGGAGGACTAGGAAATTGACATCTGCAAGCCACAAAGTGGGGTGCGCCTCAGTGTGCGACCTCAGTCTCAGCTGGATCCTGAAGAGGTTCAGATACACAACAGAACAAAAACTATTCACACTGAGCACTTTGATCCCAGTTAGAATTTCAAATACCATCCTTCTGCATACCTCCTGTCTAATTCCAACATAAGTGATGGAGCTTTCCTGGGTACCATTTTGCTGGGGCTCTTTCATGAAGGCGGTGCCTGCCTCATGATCCTTAAAAGAGAGAGGCTTTATTCATGAAAAGCAGAGTATCGGGAACTGAGGTGGAAGAAGCACTCTTTGGAATTCTGGAAGAAACCTATATGTATACATATGTTAATTGGGGGGAGGGTGGGTTGGCAGGGGGCTGGAGGAGGTGGGAACAGAGACGGGGCACAATAACAGGCACTTGCCGCTGGAGTGTGGGAGGTCACCCAAATCCATTGTCTTCTGTATGGTGTTGGGTTTCTGTACACAGTAAAACTCTTCCCGTGTTCTTTCATTATTTGTCTGTGAGCATTTTGGTGCATGGAGCCCCTGTACCCTCCCATGGCATTAAAGTCAACTATTAGAACCTGGGTGCTGTGCCTTTCTTTTTTTAGAGACTCACTCTCATCCTTCCTCGGCCCCCAACTTTGCTAGCAAATAAGTCTTGATTTCTCCTTAAAATGTGGTATGTTTAGGGATGCCACACTTAACAAAACAGGCTCTTCCCTGATATTAGCAGGTGAATTTCTGCCCTGACTTGAAGTTAAAAGGGCATGGCTGGGCTCACGGAGTTCCTTCCGTGGTTACACTAGCCTTGTCTCTGTTCCAGGGAGGTGTGTGCCTAGGCAAACAGCTCTACGCTCTTCTGTTGAAAGGTCTCTGGGGAAAGAAGATAGCACAATTGCGCGGTCCCTTGTATGGTTCACAACTGTGTCGGTAGCTCTGACAATTCCCTCCTGTCCGATCACCACTTTTTCCAAGAGGAAGTTGAGTGGCTCTAAGCATACGTGAGCCTCAGTGGTTAAGACCCTTCCTTAGGGACAATGGGTATCAGTTGCCCTTCCTCTGAAAGCAGAGTTTTGACACTTTCCTAGCTAATGAGTGTCCTCATCAGGATGCCCCTTGGAGTCACTTCATGGATTAACCCAGAAAGGTGAGCTCTGAAGTGCTGGGTAGCTATGCCACCCTCCAGCTGCTTCCCTTAAATCTCTGGTTATCCTAACTTTTAAGCAAAACCACTGTATCATCTGTGCCAAATGTATTCCCTGACCTAATTACTGTGCAACACTCACATAGTAATAATACACTAATAATATCTTACAAATTGGGAACTGAAGCTTGTAGAGGTGTAATTTCCCCAAGGGCACATAAGCAGTAAGTGGCAGAGCCAGGATGCAAACCCAGAGCCCTTTCCTGAAATCCTCACGGGTGTTCAACACAGAGCCCTCCCTTCCACTTGGCAGCTCAGTGTCCCACCTCTGAGGCTCAGGGCTTCACCCTGCCTAACCTATACAGGTTTGAAAAACAAATTCTCTAGACGGAATACTAGAAAGACTTCCTTAGACCTGTGGGTCTTAAGTAGCCCAGAGAATTAAGGAGATAGATGGGGTTCCCAATGTCCACTAGGTGCTGAAGGGTCCTATTCACGGGACAGTGAGTAGAGGATGACTGAGCCGGCGAGTAGTGACTCCCTGGCTGGACACCGTGCGGTGGGATAGCCTGGGACAGCCCAAGTTAATCTGACTCGTGCAGCCGACGGAACAAACCACACACGTGTGCTATGCAGCTTGACCACGGGAGGTACACGCAGGGTCACGGCCCTTCTTCAAGGACCCCTGGTGTCAAGAGAATAATTGAATGGGAGACTCTAGTTCAGCTCAGGGGACATCGTGTGCCTGGCTTGGGGCTCATGACCCTTGGACTCCAGGTCTCCACTCTGCCTGTGTGTCCTTTGTCGTCATTTTGAAGATGATGACC